TGCACATTAGCTTTATTTTGGCACTGTTGAACGATGCTTGTCGTTAATCAATTTAATTCACACACTCTTTGATTTGCCGCCATTTATTTTTGCGAGTGGCACGCGTCGTTAAAAAGCCGGCGAAACAAAACAAAACAATCCCAAAACCGCACCAAAAACATCCGCGTCCGTCTCGACGCAACTAAACCAAGCGACCGAAGCGAACTGTTTATGGTAGCTTCAAAAACTCGCTTTTGCCGGGGTTTTTCTTTCCATTCGGGTGAAAACACACGAACACAGCTCTAGCTCTCTGAATTCTCTTTGCCAGAAATACTCTTAAGAGCCGGGGATCTTTTCCTGCCTCAAAATACTTTATCCACCCTCACAATATTGAACTGTCCGCACAGCTGAATAACCACTAAACCAATATTATTTGCTTCCATTATCACTGTTTTTTAATTTTAATTGATTTCTTAAGCCTATAAAATATATACAACTATTCTTTATCTTTCCCAAACCTATCTGTTTTCATAGTCACAAAATTAAATAAAAAATGTTTAATTCATTTTCTAAAAATATGTTTTGTTTAATTCTTGTAGGGACTTGGATTTGTTGGCATAAACAATATTTTACTCCAAATTTGTTAAAAATTATTTTTTGCTAATATTTGTATACTTTGTAAAACGTTTTTAAATTTATTTGCTTATTTTATATTTATTTACATATTTCGTGGAAATCATAAGGATGTTTAAGAGAGAAAGTTTTAGAGAGAAAAGAGAGAGCCGTAAACGAACCAAAGAGTCGAATACTTATTATTTTACATGGCACATGTTCGAGGTTCGAAGTAAAAGTGGTTGCGTCGCTACACTACAAAAAAATATAATAAAATTTCATTGTATTTTCGTGGTAGAAACACCAAGCACTTCAAAGTTTCGAGTACAGGCAACACCATTATTTTTAAATCAGGAATAGTCATACAAAAAGTAGGGCTCAATAAGAAAATATAAAGAATTGAATATTATTATTATCAAATAAAAGTATTTGTAGACTGCAAATCTAATTCTCGTAGTGCACTGAATCACTGGAGACGTTTGTCTTGTTTGCTTGTTGGTTTGCTGCATTCGGCTGGTCTAAAAATACTTGGCACTTGCACTTCTGAGGCGGAGGATGTGGACGGGGGGGCCACTCTGAAGTTCAATGCACATGCCCCAGCTGCTGGGGGTCAACCGAATGGCGAACGAGACCAATTAAGCTGCCCGAAGTTATTGTTGGCCAGCAAACAAATCGTCGCAATTTAACAAAGTAAGCAATTATAGCAAATAGTATCGTGTCACATAAACTGTCGCAGAAATTGGAGGCGGAGGGGCCTGGCAGAAAGTAAAATTGTTTAATCATTGAGCTTAATTTCAATCGGGGAAACTCGTTTGACGATAAGCCGATCAGGCACACACTCAACTTGTTCGGTCTAGTTTACGGCGCCGGCTGTAGTGTTTTTACCTATACACTAAAAAAGATAGAAAATAAAATGACTTTCAATTTTTAGATAATGACAACATCTTGAGAATATACCAATAAATTAATATAATATGTAAGTTGACTTATTACAAATTTATTAAATTTTATTATTTCAAGCAAAAACAAGAAAGGAAGCAAACTTCGCAAGCCAAAGCTATAAACCAAAAATATAATCCAAGATTTGAACACAGATTTTTAGAGCATTTAGACACAATCATTTAGAAGTATGCCTTTTTGAAATCGGATGACTGTAAGAAAAGTTATGGGCTTTGAAGTGCATTTTTTTGACACTTTTCTGCAAAGCCATTTTTCGACATTTTGGAAAGGGGTAACATCATTAAAAATGACGAAAAAACGACCAAAAAAAAATAAACCAAGATTTGAACACAGATTTTTAGAGCTTTTACCCACAATCATTTAGAAGTATGCCTTTTTGAAATCGGATATCGGTAAGAAAAGTTATGGGCTTGGAAGTGCAGTTTTTTGACACTTTTCTGCAAAGCCATTTTTGGACATTTTGGAAAGGGGTAACATCATTAAAAATGACGAAAAATCGACCAAAAAAAATAAACCAAGATTTGAACACAGATTTTTTGAGAATTTAGATACAATCATTTAGAAGTATGTCTTTTAGAAATCGGATGACTATAAGTAAAGTTATGGGCTTGGAAGTGCAATTTTTGACACTTTTCTGCAAAGGCATTTTTAAAATTAGGAAAAAAGGCAATACCCTGGTAAAGTGTATACAGGCATCGGTCTTGAGTCAGATAACATTAACATTATGTTTTTCTTTTTTTTTTTTGTTGATCGGCCTAAAGTTTATGGCCAATGCATGCTGGGCAGCGTGTCGAAATATGATTGCAATTACTGGGATGTGCGATGTAGACCCGAAATCGCAATGATTGAACGACCAAACGAGTTTCGGATTGAAAGTGTTCATCGGAGTTTGCAACTATAATTGAAGTTGGGTTTTAGAGTTTTTTCACAAGAAGTGGGCGGTAAAGAAAGTGGCTGCCTGCGATTAAGTCGTTGCAGACAGTTGAAAAAAGGTGCCAAGTCTTGAAATAACCAGATGCCGGTTAAAGCTGATTTGCAAATTGAATTTATTGGGGCGATATTGTCTTGGAATGTTATTAGATTTCATGTAGCTGTCACGACTGAATGGATGTTTAATAAATTATATGGTTTAACGAGTGAATGTTAATTAAATCGATGATAATATATGTAGTAAAGTTTTTCATACTTTTTTGGTTAATATTTTAAAGGTTAAAAAGACACAACGAATAAAGAAATAGTTATCAGATGAAAAATCTATATTTTTAAAACTTGAATTCAAGTGACATTGAACAAGTTCTTACTGCTGATACAATGTCACATAAACAAGAGTATCTTAAACTCTGCCTCAAATTTCTCCCCCCATTTTGTTACATATACAATCAGTTTTGAAAAACAACATTATACCCTCTACCTCTATGACAAAAAAAAACTAAAACTAGACCCAATAAATCTTTGTTTGGACAAATCCAAAAAGCATGAAAGCCCGAGTTGCCACACACGGACCTAACCAGATGTAGCTCCAGACTGACTGCTCCACAAGGCACCGAAACCCCCTCTCCTCTAATGGCATTAAGCCCCTGCTCCAAAAACACTAAGCATGCATTTTTTTGCCTTTTGTCGGACTCCGGGGAACTCTGCGGGCGGAGAGGAGCTCAGCCGGGCACTTTATCATTTCAATGGCAAACGGCGGACACTGCAATGTTTACTTTTCATTTTATACACTCTGTCCCCGGATTCCGCAGCCTGATGCCATCCCCCCTATTGTTCACTTGCTCGTCTATGCAATTGTCGAGCGGTTCGTCTATGCAAATATTTTTATTTGCCTTCTGGTTATGGTTGTCCAGCGAGAAGGATCCACAAAAAAATGTAGCATAAATATTTTAAATACCCGGTGAATAAGTAAAAAGTTTACTAGTTTTTCTACAATTTTCTTTATTTATTAGTTAAGTATGAAAGTATATAAGCATCTTGTTAAGGTGCGCGACTTTATTAGGTTTCATTACTATTTTTAGCAGATACTTAATTTTAAATTTAGTCAGACCCTTTATATATAAAAAGTAAGCTTCATTAAGTTTCAGGACTTTTCCAAAAATTAATTCTAAAATAAAACCTGTGAAAGAATCATTCCAAGGACCCTTCGTGAACTAGAATCCTTGTACAATAATGCTCTTCAACTAGAGGGTATCATAAAAATAAAGGCAACTGTGCTGACAGCAGCTCATTTTCCCCTTTCTGAAACAGACTGATGTTGGGTTTTATATTTTGCACATGCTGCCACTTTTCACTGGGTTAGTTTTCCGGAATGATCATCATCCGGGAAAAGCCCTTTCGAAAGCCTTAGTCATCAGCTTAATCAAGTTCTTCAAATAGTTAATGTTCCCGGGGGAGTTAATTACCCGAGTATTTAGCATATAATTATGGAGTTCACCTGTTTTCATCTCGGCCTGTCCGTGTCTTACTTTTTCCAACCCGAAACCCCCAGGAAAAGGTCCCTTGAGGGCAGGACAACTTCATGCTCCGCCCATTGGCAATTCAATTTTCCTTTACGACCAAACAACAACAACAGGGGGGAAAACTGTTGGAAAAAGTAATCATCGTTGCAATTGTTTCACATTTTTCACATTGCGGCGCAGAGGGGAAGATGAATGCTAGCTTTGATGATGAGAATTGAGGACTGAGGACTGAGGTGAGATGGGAGTCCTTTTGGGCCACCCACTACTCATCATGGGATGCCTGTAGACGACGTTTTCCCGCTTCCCAATTTCCTTTTCTTATGACTAATGGCTAGCAACTGAAATCGAATTGTGGGACTCGATTGAAGCGCCACCGACCTTAAAGAGTTGCAAAAGCTAAGACCAACCCTTAGCCACCCCATTTTCCCGGACTTTCTCTTCATTTTTAATAATACACCCAAACGCAGTCACTTCAAAACAGGCGGAAAACGCACAAAAAAAAAGGGAATAAATATAAGCTGCTAGAACATGAAAAGCCAGACAAGTTTAAGGAGGATGAGCTGTGTTTCTGCGGACATCGTCTGCTGAAACAAAAGCGAAATTGTCAACTCTCAACGAAAAGGAAAGGGAAACGCATGTCAAAATTTGCGTGGGTTGACCGCGGACAATGGCAAATTTTTCCTATCTGAGGGATATCCTGATGACCGGAAAGGGAGCTCCATCGCCATGAAAGGGATGAAAAATCTGCAATTAGAGATTTCAAGGGCGGTTGATTTTCGTACCTAATTATGGTTAAGGTAGGGCACATTTATAATAATAATGGGCATTGAGCAAACTAATAATATGGCTTAAGGGCAATATAGAATGATCAAAAGGTTGTTAGCATAATCTCTCAACTTTTTTAATGGCGTACACATTCTGTAAAATTTAAAGAGTTAAAATACTTTAAACACTTTACCCTTCTCCAAGACTTCATTGTCAACATATCAAAACTCAGAAATAAACAGAGTAAAAGTCAAATAAAATGAAGTTCGGCAAGACGCTTGAGACTCTTATGGTAGCGGAATGGCGGTATCAGTATATGAACTACAATGTAACTTTGACTTATTTGCAATTCTGTCTTATTTGATTAATATTTCAAATACATTTCCAAGGAGCTTAAGACCTTGATAAGAAATGCAGTGGACAAAGCTCCGGATTCTAGCGTGGTGAATAATGATGTGATTGTCGCTTACTTCAAGGATTTCGAGGAGCTCTTTTTCAACACCTGCGACGAGGAGCTGACCAAAGTAAACGACTTCTTTGCCCACAAACAGGCGGAGGCACATCGCAAGTTGGCCAGCCTGAATTACCAGCTAACACTAATGGTCCACGATCAACAGGATCCCCGAGAATCGCAATCGACTTCCAGGGGATCGGCCACATCAAGGAGCCGCCAACTGGAGGACAACCGTCAGAAGCCGCCCATCAATAAACTCCGGCTGGCCATGAGCGAGTTTTATCTAAGGTAGTTGCACTTTTATTTTATCATAGCTTATAACATAACTAGAGAACTAGTCAAATTTGCATCCTGCCAAATCAAAAATTGAGTTAGTTAACATGCTCGATAAAAATTAAAAGAGAATTCTTTAAGACAAAACTTTAAACATCAATCTTTTGATAATTCATAGTCTTAATAATATTAAAAAATTATTTTTGATTAGAACATATATATTTTTTCTATCACATTGAAACTATACCCCTCTTAGCCTAATTATGCTGCAGAATTTCCAAACGCTAAACATGACGGCCTTTCGCAAGATTTGCAAAAAGTACGATAAGAATTTAAAGTCCGATGCTGGATTGATCTGGTACGAGCGTTTTGTTGTTCGGGCGACCTTTTCCACAGGCTCGCGTCTCGATCGAATGATTGTGACCGTGGAGGATCTATACACGGAGTACCTGGCCAATGGAGATCGGTCCAAAGCGATGGCCAAGTTGAGGGTGCCGCCTTTGGGCCATTCCACTTCACCGATTCACGTTTTCTGCGCAGGACTTCTTCTGGGACTTTTCTTGGTGGGAGCCATCATTTGTTTCATTTTGTGTAGGTGGTTTTACCATTGAATAGCAAGGAAACCCCTTCTTAACTTTATATTTTTCTCTATACCCCTAGATTTTTGCCTGGATCTAAGCGATGAGTTCCGGTTCACGTTTGCCAGTCTTTTTAGAGGACCCATTTCAGGTGTGGTCTTTGGTTTTTGTCTGGTTTTGAATGTGAAAATCTTCGAGAAAATGGGCATCGACCATGTTTTGATTTTCGAGGTGGAGCGAAGAAATGCAGTGAGTGCCATGCGTGGTTTGGAAATAGTTGGTTTCTTTGGATACCTTTGCACTCTGAGCATTTTGCTGTACTTGCTCCACAAAGAGTTTTATATAAGTGATCCGTATTATATACCACTTGTCCAGTTCCTAACTGCGGTCGTATTCTTTTTCAATCCCATACAAACCTTTTTCTACTCGGCCAGGATTTGGCTGATGACCACAGTGGGTCGCATTTTTTTAGCTCCCTTTTTCTTTGTGAATTTCGTGGACTTTTGGGTTGCGGATCAGTTTACCTCGCTGGTAATCTGTTTTGTGGATCACTATTACCTTTTGAGGTTCTATGTGAGATATATTCTGGATCGAAGCGATGCCTTTGACTTTGAACCCGACTACGCAGTGGCCATCATTCGATGCATTCCCGCTTGGATTCGATTCTGCCAGAGTCTTCGGCGATTTAGGGACAGCGGCTCCAAGTCCACTGATTATCTGATCAATGCATTTAAGTACTTCCTGACCCCGATGGAGGTTTTATTTTCAACAGTCCAAATGGAGACTATGGGTGAGTGGCAAATTGATAATACAATAAAAACTAACAGAGTTATTTGGAAATACGAATTTTAAAAGGATTTTTTCTTAATAAATAAAATACAAATATATATAATGATCAAATTTCCGCGATTTCTAAATCATAAAATACAATTTTAGACAAGTACAGTAATATTTTCGAAAACCCCTGGACTTGGGCCTATATAATGATATGCATTTATTCGTCAATATACTCTCTACTTTGGGATTTCCTGATGGACTTTGGTTTATTTAAAGTGTGGAAGGGTGAGAACATATTTCTGCGCGATAATCTAGTCTATCCCAAGGTAAAGCCTTAAATCTTAATTAACTTATGAATATTAAATGGAATTGCCTAATTGCAGGGGTTTTACTACTTGGTGATTGTGGAAAATACACTGTTGCGATTTGCTTGGACTTTGGAGATCGTTTTGGTTTATCAGGAATTGTTGGCTCCCTACAATGGCAAATCGATTGTTTGTTTCAGTGAGATAGTTCGACGATTCTTTTGGAACTTTTTGCGACTGGAAAATGAGCATCTGTATAATTGCGGACAATTCAGAGCCACACGGGACATATTCGTAACCAGATTAGATCCGCAAGAGGAAAGGTTTTTGGAGGACATGATGGATGAAACAGAACACATGGGAAATGAAAACCTGAATAAAAAGTATTTTTAAGATGCAAATTTGCTAATATTTAATTGGGTTTTCTTCTTCAGAATGCTTTGTATAAATACATTTCTTAAAGTAGTGAAACATTTTGGGTCCTGAATCAAAATCTCCACCTTTCAATGACTTTATTGCATTGACCACATCCTTTCCTTACTCCTCAGTTTCCTTTCTCACTGCTTCAATTGCCAACAATTGACAGTCAATGAAGTGTTAAGCCCAGACCTAAACACAGGCTTGCAGGACTTGCCTCACCCCTTTCCCCATTCTGGGCACACAAATTGAATAAAATTAATCTCACATTTACGAAATTAAAACCACAAATGGAATTATAAATTCAGCACAGAGGAGCAGACCATGTGGAAAAAACCAAGCCTGCAGGACAACAAAAGTTAAGCCAGACGAAGCGACCAGGGGACTTGACAATTTGCCAGTGAAGAGTGGCCACACAGGAAGGACGAGTGCATTTTGGTTGGAGCAAAGGATGGCAGGACATCCTGTCCTGGGGGAGTGAGACTGCTCCTTGTTCATGGTCACGCATAAATGCATGCGAATTAGAGAGCTTCGGGAAACACACGCACGTGGGCGGATTTATCCCATTCAGGGGGTGGATTCGGGGGCCAACATCCATGGGAATTTCCTCCCCTTTAAAGGACCTCCCGTCTTCAGGGGTTACTTTCAAGCCAATTCCAGAAGGAAAGCTCGGTTACAACTGCTATAAATACATTTCGGTGGGGGCAACATATTGTTGGCATGTCTGCCAAAGCAATTTGCAGTTATAAATGGTGGGAGCTCTGCACTCTGGGGTTGTATCGTCATCAGCTGTTGCTGAAATCTTGAGAATATTTAAGGAGATTTCGGGAATCTATGCAGGAGCGGCTTGGGAATGTCCTCTTATTTTAATTATGTGCGTCAGTGCAACATGTTGCTCCTGCCAGCAGGTTGTCCCCAACAAATCACAGCCCGCGCTTTAAAAAATAGCAAACTTGTGAAGTGCCATGAAATTGGAATTCCCCAAAAGCAAACGACCCCACCTCTGCCCAAAAAAACTCAGTAGCAGCTGCCGTCGTTAAAATGCTTTTGAATTTTGCATTTGAAAAATACTAGGCAACGACTGTCGTTAATGGTACACTACTAAAAATTACCTTATGTATGTATTGTTTATATATTTCTGGCGAAGTTTATTGTCTCTAACAGGATAAGTTTATGATTTTAGATAAACTTTAATAAAAGAAAAATTTAACTAAAGAATTAAATGAAAATTGTTGAATGAGAATTCTATTGAAATAATTAATCAAAATATATTTTTCTTATTTAATAGTAAGATATTGGAAAGAACTTAGAGATTTCTTGAATGGCGTACTTTAGATTTATTTCATTAAAAATAATATTTTTGTGCTCCTTATTGAAGAATTTTAGAAAGAATTTAAGCATTTCTCTATATAATTGTAGATATTCTGAAAAAGTTCTTGACTTTCTAATGTTTTCGTTTAGGTGTACCATTTTTGGGGTTGCTGTTTTGTCACCGTTCCGGGTGGCTGGCGGGGAATCCCCTGAGCTGGGTCTAGGTCGACAGACCGCAGACATTATAAACAACGGTCCGGAGGGTCGCCGCCCGACTCGCAAGTGAAAGTTTAATGGCGCAACTTTAAATGAACCGACCGCTGCAGCCTGCTGATTGCGTCGCCTACCACAAACTAGGCGCAAGGACGACCATAAAAATCCTTTGTAATTTATTTGTCTGCTCGACCAAAAGCGAACGCAAGACATTTCCGTAACGCATTTAAATTTCATAGTCAGTGAAAGTCATCAACACATTGGGCCCGTGCCCCGAGTTAAACGACCGATTCGAAGGATGGGGAAATGGGAATGGGGGCGCCGCACAAAAGCTTCCGCTTCCTGTCTGCAACTTCAAGGATTTCCCCGAGGGTTGCAAACACGGTGCGCAATGGGGGAAAACCCCACAGCGAAGTCAAAACCGAAGACCTCCCAACAGACATTGGGCAAATAAAGTTTTCTAATTTTGCCATCTTCTTGCTTTGAATTTTTCAGAGAGCACTTTGCGGAGTTTTCCCCCTTGGCAGAGATTTTCCTCTCTTTAAACTTGTAGCATGCCAATTTTGTTTGCCTTTCAGGGGTTTTTCCTACCATTTTCCTGATGACATCTGTTGGTCGAGGTGTGAGGCGGAACCCCCAAAAAAAATGGATCAAGTTAAACCAGGACCCAACTGCCTGTAATTTCCGGCAAACAAACCAATAAATCATATTAAACTTGCTCGGAATTCTAGGAAAGCGCAGAAAGAAATGCGTGCCGGATGTCTTATGACAGTCTAAGCGAAATTCAAAGGAAATCTCCGACATTGGATATGCAATGTTTTGGGTGGGTAAGGATTTCTGCATCGAAGGGGAGTTTTGGGAAACGCTAAGAGTGGGAAGGAGAACTAGTTGAGTTTGATTAAGTGTTGGTAGCAGAACTGAATTCAAATTATTTTGAACGAGATTTGCTAACATTTGTAAGTGATAATCTCTAATTAATGGCGTACTGGTCTAATGAATATTGTCTTGTCTGAACCTAAAATCGAGGGACTGGGGTGTGTACATTAATTGCATTGACAATGTCCTATAAAATATATTTATATATTGCGCTCTCTAGCGCACATGGCATAGTTGGTAACCCCAATTAAAAGAGGTTTTAACCTATTTTGTTAAAAAAACTTTAAAAAACATTTGAAGATAGCCTAAGGATTAAATTTACTAGGATATATTTACTAGACGTTATTTAGTTAGTTTCTAAAGCGCCACCTTTGGTTGGTGCACGTGCTAACAGTATAAGAGTGAGCAAGTGCAAATGCAAAACATAGCGATTACTCAAACCGATACAGAAAGAAAAGCTGGCTGCTACATCACTTTTCTCAAGATAGAGGGCGCTGTGCAATAAAGAGTACTGAATGTAAAATGTATAATATAAGTAAAATAACATAGGAGTCGTGGAGGTCTTGAAAATAGCAGGACCAGATATAAGGCTTTTCCGCCCTTTTCCGGCGGAACAGGACTGTGAACCTTTTCCGGCAGTTTTCGTGGGTGGGACTGTCTCAAAATTCAGTTCGACGATCAGGACGACTTTGTTTTTTAGGTGGGTAATTAGAGCGTCTGGAAAATTAATATATCGCCTCCGGCAACATACGATAATACTTTTGACACGCGGAAAATGAGGTGGATCGGAATATTTCGCGAAAATTGGTTTGGAAAAGCCTTGCGCCATATATAAAGTTTTAAAGTAAGGCAAAAGAATTTAGGATCTTTTGATTTTCAAACAAGAAAGGCAAGCTAACTTCGGGCGGAGCCGAAGTTGATATACCCTTGCAGAATACTCTGTAAATTATATTCTCCAAAATTATTCATATGATGCATTCTTAATACTCATAAAAAATCCCAACATCCTAACTTTAAAAACACCAAAGTTATAGCATTTCCAATTGTTCAGTTATATGGCAGCTATAAGATATAGTCGGCCGATCCCTATGAACTTTGGTAGGTCGGATTGATTGGCCAAAAATAAAACCCATAGAAAATCCCAACTTCCTAACTTAACAAACACCAAAGTTATGGCATTTCAGATCAATCAGTTATATGGCGGCTATAGGATATAGTCGGCCGATCCTTATGAAATTTGGTAGGTCGGATTGATTGACCAAATATAAAACCGATAGAAAATCCCAACTTCCTAACTTTACAAACACCAAAGTTATGGCATTTCCGATCAATCAGTTATATGGCAGCTATAAGATATAGTCGGCCGATCCTTATGAAATTTGGTAGGTCAGATTGATTGGCCAAATATAAAGCCCATAGAAAATTCCAACTTCCTAACTTTACAAACACCAAAGTTATGGCATTTCCGATCAATCAGTTATATGGCAGCTATAGGATATAGTCGGCCGATCCCGGCCGTTCCGACTTATATACTGCGTGCAAAGGAAAGAAGGCTGTGTGCAAAGTTTCAACTCGATAGCTTTAAAACTGAGAGACTAGTTTGCGTAGAAACAGACAGACGGACAGACGGACATGGCTATATCAACTCAGGAGGTGATCCTGATCAAGAATATATATACTTTATAGGGTCGGAGATGTCTCCTTCACTGCGTTGCACACTTTTGACCAAAATTATAATACCCTCTGCAAGGGTATAAAAATGGTATTCAAAATTCACTTACCGGTTCACCATCTCATTGCCGTTTTCCAGGGACTGGGCCAATTGCTGCGGCGTCTGCTGCTGCTGCTGCTGATCCTGTTGGTTTTTATCCTGGTGCAGACTGGATCCCGGGGTCCTCAGACCGCCGCCCACTCCGATTCCCAAAACAGAGCCGCCCGAGAGGGTCGACGAGGAGCCCACTCCGCCGCCGCAGCCCACGCCGATGGACTTGGTCTGCTTGGCCTGCTGCTTGAAGCGACTCAAGGCGAAGAAGAGGGCGAGGACGGCTTTCAGGCGACCGGCGCAGATGTCATTGGTGGTGATGTTCTCCAAGCCGCCGACCGACTGACTTCGCAGCACATGCAGACACGAGTTGACGTTGTCAAACTAACCGGGAAAACGGGGAGAGAAGCGGAATGCAAATGAAATCAAAGCACGGAAAATGCCAACACTTAAAGCTATTTAAGTACAGCGATGATTCATTGGGCGGAGCTCTTTGAGCTGCCTAATATAAATGTAAATCCCCGAGCTGTTTTATCGCCGGGCGCCTGCGATGTCGTGATTTTGACATGGCTTCCAAATGAGGCGCCCCAACACCGATACACAAATGCGTTTTTTATGGCTAATTTCCCCCAGTCGTTTTAAACTGCTTCACGCACACGACCTGGCCAGAAAAACCCTTCGAATCAAACCAAAGCCAAACGAAACAAAAAATTGACATTAAGATAAAGTGTTCAGACATCAACTGCCCTTCTTCAGCACCCTTTCTCATTTGTCAACACCAGGAGAATCTAGAATGACAGGCCGCACGACTTTG